ATAATTACAAAATAAAATAAAATAAAATTACAATCTTCAACTTACAGTATGGCAGATGTCGTACCGGTACACACTTAATACAATTAGAAATAATGATGCCAATAAATAATGCGGAATAAACACATATAAGTAGGAGCACACAAATACACAAAGAATAAAACACGCCTCGTAATGTTAAGAAAATCTATGTGAAAAATCTCCGTCCCCTCGTGCCTGTCAATCTCTTATATATATGTAGAGTAAGATGCTTCGAGAAGGGCTTATGACGTGTTGTTTACATCTCTCGGGTTAAGGAGTATATTCCAGAAATTACCCGAAAACAATCTACCCAATGCGTAATTGGAAGCCGACTGTAAACAAGCCACTTCAAAGACCTAAGCCACACCCCTTTGTGAACACAGCGTCTCATGCGGGGTCAATCAGAGGGCACGCACGAGAAAAACAAGCTCTCTATAACACCACCTTTTTGGTGTGATGGGGAAGCATCCCATTGTTAAAAGTTTAACCATACGAATTCATTTAATGTTTTTATCTTGAATGCTATGTTGCTCAAATTGATTATCCCAATAATTTTGCATCACAAAATTCAAAGAAATGGTTCTCAAATGCAAATTCAGAATGGGTCATCGTTATTGTATTCGGAACCGTCAATCAGAGGCATCCCTCCAGTTGGTATCACCCGTTGCGGTAAACTCATGGTTTCAACCCCTTTTTTCCGGACACCCCCCCCCCCAAACCTGCACCTGGTAATTCTTAATAAAATGAGTAAAACAGAGTAGGGTTAAACCTGAAAAAATAAACGCAACAAAACAGCGAACGTGTCGGCAGAAAGCCTTCGTCAGCGAACAAAACAACAGAAAAAACGGTATAAAAATAAAAATAAGAAATAGCACTTAGCTGGTAAGTAGTATCTGTGGGCAGCAATAGAAGTGCACAAAGCAAAACGCTTATAGTATGTTTGTTAATAAAATCCCTAAGCAACAAAACTTATAAGAAGTTGAAGTAGAGTTCGGGGTAACAGCGATTTAAAAATGCAACAAATTTATTTTTTATTTAACATAAAGCTTAACTGCAAAAACGTGATCTTCCTGTTATTCAAAGATGCAAATAGGTCAAGCATTTCAGCAAAATCAACATTCTTAGCTTTATCACTTTCAATTGCCAAAATCGCAAGACCAGAAAGCCTTGACTATTCCACGATAGATCGCAAATAACTATTATTAAAAGTTTTGAAGAACTCCTCTCACATAAAGCCATGGATAAAGCGTGAAAAATTATAATTGTACTCTTAATGATGGGATTGGGAGAGATTCCCAATCATGCTCTGGTGCACACTGCTCTGATGGAATCTCACTCATTCGGACCATGCTCTGTTTGCGATCTGCTCTGATGGCACCATGCTCTGTCTGATGACACCATCTTCTGGTTTCAACCTGATGTGGTAGCAACATGATCTGGTGGCCCATGTTCTCGTAGTCCCCTTTTCTGGTTTCACCCTGCTATGGTAGCTAAATGATCTGGCGAAATCCTGTTAATGTAGCATCCTGCCTTGATGGCAACATGCTCTGTTGGCACACTGCCCTGGTCACGCCTTGTTCTGGTGATACCCTGTTCTATTTACAACATACTCTGGTGGCACCCTCCTCTCTCTAGTGACACCCGTTCTAAGAGAAACGTGTTTTTGGTGGCAACATGATTTCATGGCACCTATCTGGTGACACTCTTTTCTGATGACATGCTTATTTGGTGACATACTGCTCTGGTAAAACCCACCCTGCTCTGGTAGCACTCTGGTCTGGTTAAACCCTGTTCGGATACCCCCCTGCAGGGTTTCTTTCAGCTATTTCTCAGGGGGGGGGGCAAGTGCCCCCCTGGAGCAAAAATATGTCCAACAATAAGTCAACTGGCACTGCTGGCTCTGCCCCCCCCTCCCCCTCAAAAAATCTGAAGTGCCCCCTCCCCAAGGGAAAATTTCGGAAATAATCACTGTTCCCCTGCTCTGGTGGTACCTCATTCTGTTGGCTCACTGTTCTTGTATTTAACTGAGTTCTGTTAATCACTGTTATGACACCGACTCGAACTTACTCTGTCAAATTTCCCATTCCCATTTGGTGTCGTATCAGCATATACCTACTCTCCGGTAAAGGAAATATAAGTGTATTTTGTGTGATAGAATAATATTTTATGTTCACTTTAAGGTATTAGGATAGTCTCCAAGACATTAAAAAAAAAAAAAAAAAATTAAAAATTTTATTTCGATAGAACTGGAACTGACATTAGTATAATTAAGATATAAAATATGGGACTGAAATTTCATTCAACACATAAAATACTTTTGTAACAAATACTTTTGTTTCTGTTAAGTTAAATTTTCTTAGAGAACTCCTTTTTTTTTTCCCTTCTTCATATTTTACCCATTAAAACATCTAAGTCTACTCCACACCTGTAGTACGATGACCCACTTAGAGGGTGTACTATCCGTACTCATAGAAGTTAGAGCGCATCTGTCAAACACCGGAAATGCAAAAGAAACAACATAAAATATTTTTTCGCTAAAAGATTACCCTCAAAATGGAGGCCTCGGTCAATAATATGACGAATTCTAATCCCAGTAAGAGTGAATCTTAATTAGAAATTGCGTAGAGTAGGCATATGTTCATATAAAAATGATATCATTCAATAGTTTTTTAGGGATAGCGTATATTCTCTATTCTGTTATAAACTAAAAAATACGCGAGAAACTAACTTAGGCTATTTGACAAAAACTAAAAATATTGAAGAGATGCACTGCGTTTTTTTACCATGGCGAACTTATGTCCTAAATTTATCCCTAAACCTAACCTGAACCCTAAATCTAAACCTAACCTGAACCCTAAATCTAAACCTAACCTGAACCCTAAACTTATCCCTAACATGGGTTTTAACCCTATCGGAACCAGGGTTTTGACATTGTCGGTCGGGCGCTTCTTCACATTAGCCAAAATATAGTTGGCAATTTGAAAACATTAATATTTAAACAATATAATATATTTAATATAATTACTACATAAGACTTTTTTGTAGAAGTGTTTTAATATAGTTCGATCAGGTAAATAGGGAGTTTTTAATTTAAAAGCTCAGTGATGTGCACTGGTCAGTATTGTTTAATTTTTTATAACGTCATAACCCAAGCGTACTACTACTAATATGTAGTATGTCTATAATTTAATATTATACTCAGGGACTGATTGGGGCAAGTTGAGTGCTATAAATAGGTAAAACGAAACTCACTTATGCATACCTTCTGCACATGTCAAAAAGTGACGCAAAAACTTTTGTGGCTATTACTATTTTAACATTCGTCTCAGTGATTATCTAGGTTTTTTTTGCATTTTATGTCACAGTTTTCTAATAATTTATTTTATCATCAGTAACTCGGTAACATAGAGTGCAAATTTTCCAAACGCAGTGATATCATCTTGCAGCATTGTGTATTTTGTGACTTGCAACATCTTTATTTTTATACCTGGGTATGTTAGCTATTATTTTTTTAATGTAAACTCACAGAAGATGGCACTCTACAGTGCTACTACTTCATTTATTCACAAACGGGAATAACTTTATCTCATTAATAATAGCAATTTCTAAAAATAGTTTGGCTTTTCAGTATTTATGAGAATGCAGTTGTCACTAGTTATTCCCCTTTGCCAAAACAAATTGGGTTGTCAGAAATGGCTCTCCTCATTAATAATTTTATATAGTTATAACAAAGATGTCCATTATCTTTGATCTTTAAAAATTTGTGGAACACATATCAGTTATTTAATGGGAAACAGTTGAACAATATTAATTAGAAATAAATACAACCCAATACATTAAATAGTTTCTATTAATTTTAATTTGTATAGCTATTTGAATTTCGGATTAGTTTAGTCCCTTGATTTACATAAATAATTATATAATAATAATATGAATAGCATCAATCTAAGTTTAAAAAATTTTTATGAGAGTACCGTTATGCTTAAAAATTGTATTCGATTTTCTTAATTGAATCAATAATGGTTTAATAATAGCAATCATAATAATTGTTATTCTCTCATTAGTGACATTACTTAAATAAAAGAAGATTATTACTCTGTTGTATAATGTATATTTTAATAGGCTTAAGACTAATACAAATATTACTAATAAACTAATCATACTCATTTTAAATAACAAATTATGTAGATTCAGGATTAAAATACTATGTTTTTTCTAGGTATCATTCAGATTCCAAGAGAAAATTTTAATTTTCTATTAAAGAACTCTGTGGAGTTCCTTTCATTGACAAGGAGGCATGTTTGGACAAAGACAAGTTTTATGCAGGAGAGATTGTAGTTTCATCAACCATACCAAAAAGTCTGAAGGGCAGTCTAAATAGAAAATGAAAAGCATAACATCCCCATTACCTTTTAAAATTTAATCATGAACCCTGGTAAAGGTATGCTCATATTAGTCTTATGCCTGATGTTAATAGTTTTATTTATAATCTCTTGCATTCAATTTTATTTTTTTTAAAGACTTCTACTTACCTTTTATAAATATAAGAATTGACACAAAATTTAACTGAAGCACATAATTTACGGTAATTAAAATATGTTTTTTTTTCTTCATAAATAATAACTTTTCTAATGTTTCTACTCATGTTATTTTTAATATATTCTCAAATAAAATAATAAAAAATAAAAAGTCTTGATATTAAATAAAAGTTTTGTTGTTTATTGTGTTGTATATTGCATTGAGAATGTTTCTCGTGAAAATCTGGTAGCATTATCTTGTAAAAAAAAAGTTGTGGATAAAATAAAACAAATTTGGAAACTCAGTCACAAGTTTTTGCAGTTAAATACAAAGATAAATAAGGGGGTTTTCAAAATTCACCAAAAAATCATACTTTTGTAAAAGCTAGAAAGATGAAATTGATGTTTTTATAAAGCTTATAGCTAGCCCTTTAAAGTGATATATGATTTATGTCAATAAGACAATATAATAATTTAGGTAATCTCTGATTTTAGCTTTGTAAATTAAAGCCATTATCATTAGTTAAAGATTGGTACTTTGATAAAGTAAGGGAGAGGAGACTAATACTTAATGTGTATCGGAAACTCGGTGCCGGAAGATTTTAATTTTTAAAGGTTGTGTTTTTCAGTTGTCAATTTTAAAGCCTATTGTCTTGAAAATTACACTTGTATTACAAATTTTTTTTTTAGAATGCATCTTGACCTATGTTCCTATATAATTCTGATAATAAATTGTGCCCTCTGCACTACATTTTGGTTGTCAGCAGTAAATAATTATGCCATTCATTTCAATCATCTCCCCCATTTTATGATACATTTCAACATAATTTTCTAAGGAGCAGATGCATATTTTTGACTAAAACTAATACTTATTACTGCATTAGGACTTAAACTCAAAAAACCTCTGGATGTATGGTCTACAAGAGAAAAGCTATGCTTGGCAAGTGCAGTCTTTAAAATCGGAGATCAGAATTGGTAAGTCTATTCAAAATCTTTTTTTTTTTAAATGTTTATCTGGGCTTGTTAAACTTGTGCACATTTATTGCAAAGCTGTTGACATTCATGTTACTGGAAAAGACTTTCTAAGATATGAAGCTAAATATATCTTTTTTTAAAATAAACAAACAAATTTAATTGTGTTCTGCATAATACATGGATGCCACAATAAAATTAATCATAAAATGTAATAAATTATAATTGTGTAGACTTATTGTCAATAACAAATTTTTACCCGTTTTTTAGGGTTTCAGTAAGTCGTGCAATAAAACCTTATGCAGACCTTAACAGACCACCAGACTGGTTCCACCAGAAGGTAAAACATATTTCTGACAAGATTATCTTATTGTAATTGGTAATCCTGTTTTTTTTGTATTAGACCTATATTTATGCAAATATATAACCATATACTCTCATAAATTAATGATGAGGATGTTCCATAACATCAAGCAATTGATACATTATTCTATTTGATGGCATCAAAACTATTCTTTTTTTTTCCTTTAGAATTGTCTCCTTCAATACTATGACATGTTGGAACAGTTGGAACAACCTAAGTAAGCAATTTTAAGTATTCCGGTATTTTTTCATTTAGGGATTTGTATTAACTATTAAATGATTAAAAAAAAAAGAATATTTAATTTTCAAAAATTAATGCTTTAAGTTTTAGCTCTAAAACAGCTTGAATATCTAATTATGAGGAATGTCTTCTTCTTTTCTTTTTTTTTTTTAAAAGACGAAAAAGAGGTGGGGATAAGTCAGAGACGGATGCACCAAGTTTGCAGATTATGAGAAAAATGACTATAGAAAGGAGTGAGCAGCTTAAGAAAGAAGTTTTGGAAATGGAGCAAAGTTTCAAGTCAGTATTTCAAGCAGTACAATAAAATTTGCAAGCACCAGACTTTATAATTTCAAAATACTTTAATGCTGTAGATGAAACAAAATAGTTTTGTAAAAATTCTATTACCCTCGCATTAATATTTAAAGTTGCAAGGCTGATGCTAAAGGTATTTTATATATTGTTTTCTTACATATCTGAATAAAGGGGAAAAAAGTAAATACAAACAAGTGATTCCTCTTTAATAAATTTAATAAATAAAAAATACATATTTTTGCCATTTATAAATAGGAAAAAAATACATGTGGTTCAGACACATTGAATTAAACTAAAAAATATCACTGTAAATGAATACAAGGGAAAATAGTATAATTCAAATAGTTTTTCATTACCCGATGTTTCCTCAAATGTTCCCGGAATTTGTTTTCCAAGGGCCTCTTTATTGACCGATGGGGGAAAAAAGAATTTAGGACAATTGTCTTTCATGAAGTAAAAATAATGATGAAAATCAAGCAAATATAATGAGTGTTCTCCTCATAATTTTCCTTGTCCTCTGCTTTGTAAATTTTTGTTTCGTTCAGCAGTTTCGTCCTCTAATCTTTATTTTTACTTTAAAAAATATTGTAGACCTATGTATAAAATTTCTCCTAAAATGACATTATTTTTTAATTGTTGTTATATGCAAAACTTTTATTCCATAAGGACTTTAAAGTCTGAAGTTGAGGCTATCAAAGCAGGACAGTGGGATGATCGAATCAAAGATGTTTGGGAAGAAATTCAAGAGTGAGTTGCTATGCCTCCAATTTATATATCGGGGGAGGGGGGAAATAATATTTAGCATCACTCTGCATCTGCAAAAAGGAAGAAAAACATCTTTGGAAGCAAGCAAACTAATTCTTTTTAAAACCCTAAAAGCTGCAGATACTTCTCTTGGTATTAAGTTGTCTTGATAATGAATTTTTTATCCTATGTTATCTCAACAGGGAATTAAGAGCAAGTGAAAATAAAATAAAAGAAGAAGTGGCGATGGAGGATGATGACGAGGAGTTAAAGGCTTTGGGTGAGTCAATGGAAATTTTGAACTGTTTCTTATCTTAGTATAAGGTTCAACAGAGGTTAAAGTGTGTGGGTATCGTGGGAGGAGGGGGGATGTAATTTATTGATTCAAGGTTAGTCATTTGAAACATAATTATATTTGTTAAAAATTAAATAATCATTTACTATACATTTATATTTCATTCAGATTTAGTGTACTCCATAATCTCTCTTGAAATAAATAAATGATACTAATCTTTAGAAACTATTATCTTTTTTTAGATCCATCTTTACTTAAATTTGTTGTTCAATAGTTTTTTTATTTTTCTTACATATTTTTTTTAGCTGCAGACACATCAGATTTATTGATGCCTATAGGTGATATTGATGACAGCACACAGGACTCAATAGATGATATATCTGTTGTAAGTCTTTTAATGGAAACATAAAGAACTTTAAGAAATTAAAACTTGTACTTAAAAATAATTTTCTGATTTCTCATAAGCCTTCAAGCTAGTAAAAAGTCCTGGGCTACTGTAAGCTGTAAAAATTTTTTAATATTTTTTTTTTGTGTTCATGAACAGCTGACAGATGAAGAAAGTATTGCAAATTTAGATATTGTTCCGTCCATGGTCTCAACCCCATCACAATCTTCTGAACTTTCCACCAAATTGCCAGCAGCATCTCATCTTTTATCATCTCTTCTTAAAAGTGAAGTGAAGTCAGCCACAGGACTTCAACAACTTAAACTTGTGAGGAAAAATTTTTTTTTTTACATTTTTTTGGTGGTGTTTTTAAAGTTAAAAAATTGGTAGGATCTCTTTTCAAACTCACATTGACACTATTCATCTTCTTACAATCATCAGCTTGCCTTTGCCTCATTCAATATTCTTTTTTTTTAAATTTTTTTTAATGACAGGAGCAGGAGCAGGAACAACTTCAGACACAAGGAGGTCAACATTCACTTTTGGCCCAAGTTTCTAGGTCTCTTCTGAAAACACCAATAACTCAAGATGATCCACTCACCACTCCACCATCTAGCTGTGAGTGTCATTGTCTCCCCTTTTTCCTGCAAGCATCTTGAATTTCTTAGTTTCTTCTATACATTTTGATTAAAGTCTCAGTATTAAAATATTGCTATCCGTGAATTTGTAATGATATTTTAAAACCACTAATTTCTATCACATCATGTCTATGTACTATTAACATCGATATATCATCTCCATTTACACACTTGAATTATACTTTAAACTTTTTAGCTTAGAAAAAAAACAGTTGAAAATTTATTTCGGTTTCAGTCTCACAGAGATCACAGCTCATTCTTAAAGCATTTATTTTTAATTCTTGTAAAAACTAAAGGTCAACTTATTGGAAAAAACTTATTTGGATTTATTTGCATGTTATATGTGTGCTGTCTCATCTATCTTTTGTATTGCATGCTCTGCTATGCTGAAAATATAAACGAATTATTATCAAGGAGTATTTCCTGAATGACTTATGGATACAATACTAAATAATTTATATTTTAAAGAACAAAACTTAATTTTTTTAAGATTCATATGTAATTACCATATATATATATATATATATATATATATATATATATATATATATATATATATATAAACACAAAAAAAAATAAGATTGAAAAAAAATATCTAAATAATTTATATTTTAAAGAACAAAACTTAATTTTTTTAAGATTCATATGTAATTACCATATATATATATATATATATATATATATATATATATATATATATATATAAATCCAGACTAGGAACAATGGGATTGCTAATAAATAACTGACACCTTATGGTCGGCTATGATAATTATAAATCATACTTTACTCTCTAACTCAGTATAGGAATTTTTACTTTATATGTACACAACATAGCACAGGATAATTTTATGAACTTTTCTAACATTTTTATTTTGTAACACATTCAATGAGATCAAAATCATGCAGTCGGAGCAGTATTAAATTTTATTTTTTTTTTAATTAAAAAAAAAAATATAATAATTCATATTTTGCTTTGAATTTTCATGACAAAGACAGTCTCAAAATCTTGATGCATGTAGTTGATGTAGCAATGTATTATTTCACTTTCGATACCTATGCTCACCATTTTGGCTGGTTTGAAAATTTGCAAGGCATTGTTTGCTCGTTTGTTCTCTAACAGCTGCTCCAACTCTGTCTCGGTTGCTGTCCACAGCCAAAAGCCAGAGTCTAGTGACAAACATTCTGAAGACTGTACCTTCAACCTCCACACTTGAAAGCCCAGCTCCTGACGATCTCAATTTAGAGGATTCTGTGGATCTCAGTAGTCTCCTAGAGGAAGTGGTGTCTGAGATGACAGAAATCTCATCTGTGCCAGGTAGTTTGATGAACAATGCATTGGGATTAATTAATTTTTTTTTTGCCTTGGTTGTAACAGGTTCGTGGAAATAAATCTTAAGTCCATGTATGATAGTGTTTTGTTATAAGAAGTTTCTTAATTATTTCCTTTGTATAAGATCTGAGACTTTATTTTACTGCACATCTTTAAGATGAATTCATCAGACAGTAGATGTGACTTCATGGCTTTCCATATTATGTTGGTTCAGTTTTAACTATCTTTGAATAAACCTATTTCACTTTAGGACTAAAACCTGAAAAACTTATTCAATGCCCATTTGTTATTTTTAAGGCATCTCTTGTATGCCAAAGGTGTTCTTGTGCCACTTTGGTGAACTGGGACAGCTATTATCAAATAGATTTAGCAAACACCTTCTCAACTTTGAGCAAAATTAAAAATACCCAATCCCATCCCATTTTAAAGAAGGTAAGCATGAAGATGCGACTGACATTTCCGTAACAAGTATACAATATTCAATAAATACACCAGGACTTGTTTATTTGTTGAGTGATACACAGTTTCATTACCAGTACCTGATAACCTGCATTGTATTACTTGACTAAAAATCTCTCTTTATTTTACATCCAAGTAACTTGTACTTGCTATTGTCTTGTTCTCCTATCCCATGATTCTTGCTTTGGTTCTATTTTCATTTCCTTGTTACATCTTGAAGTAGTCGCCATCTTATTTTGAGCTGAGTTTCTTTTTTTTTTCATTTTATCTTGACTGTTTTACTATGTCTTGATCTATTTCCTGGAAAGCCCTCATTTTGATGTTGATCTTTTCTCAAGCTTCTTCACACGCGGTGTGCTTTATATTTCATTAAATGCAATTTGATTGTAGTCTCCCCTCTATAATCCTTGACACTTGTATCCTGAAATGTCTGTGAGCCTCCTATAAAGTATTGTCCAGGTATTAATTTGAACATAAACTCTAATTAAACTAAACAATGTTCTAGAGCAGGGGTCGGGAACCTTTTGTTTGAGAGAGCCATGGACACCACATATTTTGAAAAGTAATTCTGTGAGAGCCATACATTATATTTCCCTTTAATTACAATGAATGCAGGGTTGCTATTTTTCTGTCTTTTAGGTCAGCGGAGTTTATCTCCTTTACCACTTCTGATGCTGAGCTGCAGCAGACTTAAGCTCATTTTTAGAATGAAATATTAATATGCAATTAATATGTAGATCAAAGGAGTCTAAAGAAATTTTTTTTTTTTATAATCGAACATTTGTCTGCGAGCCAGATGCAGCAATCAATAGAGCCACATCTGGCTCGCGAGCCATAGATTCCCGACCCCTGTTCTAGAGTATTGTTTCCCTCCTTTAAACTGACTTGTAATTCCCTTTTTTTTGGTGTGACTGTTTGAAATGTAGATGTCACCATAATAAGCCAGAATGAGGAAGAGCCTGAATCTGTTATAGAAATTGAGGAAGTTGTCAAAAAAGCAATGGAAGTCAAGGAGGAAGAGAATGTTTTAGATGAAGAAGAAATAGTAACCAGCCAAGAGCTGGTTGTGAAGGAGGAGGAGCAGACAAGAGAGACGCCAAACTGTCAAGGTGTGGACACAAGCATTGTGAAGGAGGAAAGGGAAAAAACAGTAAGTTACCATTTTATTTATGCTAGAGCTTTATGTGACTAACTGCCTGGTGTGTTACCTGAAAGTCAAAGAGAGCAATCTCCTACAGAATGCATTTTTTTAAGACACCTAGGTTGGTTAAATCTGAACTTGAAACATCTTTCCTCAAGAAAGCTAAGAATTTATTTTTTTGGGACTATTTTCAAAAAATAAAAAAACATAAGAATTAAATATGGTGCAAAAACAACATGGTCTGGCCTCAAGTCACTTATTCACTTGCAGGAGGATGAAGAAGAAGCCCCATTGAAAAAAACAGCAGACAGTGTAGCAAGTGAAACAGAGCTGCCAGAATCATCAGTCAAGGACGAATCACCATCTCCCACCAGCAGCATTTGTTCAAGAATTAGCGAGACGGGCAGCAAAAGGGGGAGAAGAGGTATCTTAAATCTTGAGGAACTAAAAGTAAACAGTTGCTCCCTTTGTAAAAAAAATTTCTCATTCTAATTAGAAATTTTGGGAGTGTATTCGAGCTTTTGAAAATTTGTTGTGAATGTTTTTTTTTAGTATGGGTGTTTCAAACTCATGATCCCCACAAGTGAACCGACATGCATAAATAAATTATTTTGAAAGAATAACAGAAGCATGAGTTTTAAGTGATAAGATTACAAAATTTTCAAAGCCTTTAGCAGGGGATTGTATGTTATTGTATAGAGCAGGGGTCACCAAACTTTATTCACAGTGGGCCGGATGACTGACAAAATGACAAGCGCTGGCCGCATAATAATTTTGTACAATACTTGATTAATCCTGAAATCAAAGTTGTGTAAAATTATCATTAAAACAAGAGTTATTGCGGAGGACATGATCAGCGGAATAGAGTCACAAAATGTGGAGTCCATAGTTAAAAAAATACAAAACGACCTTGCACTTTAAAAATGCATAACTCAAAAAGTACTAAAATTAGAAAGTTGATTCTGGTTTAATTTTTTTAAATTTCAAATTTGCTCAATATAACTGTACTTTTTAAATAAATGTTTAGCATTTTTTAGTTTTTTTACCGATCTACCTAATTCTAAACACAATATAAAAATAATATCACAAAGTCTTGTGTTCCATACATTTTATCAAGCGTATTTAAGTACCGTCGGCCTGATGAACAAATGCCGCTTGGGCCGTAGTTTAGAGTGACTTATGTAATCTTTGTTTGTTTATATTTGCAACTCTTATTGACAATTAGTACATTATCAATATGTGGTCCTCTGGTTGATTTAAGTTTAAATTATAAGTTTAAATTTGCTGATAACAATTGCCTTAATATCTTTATTTGCTTTAAAAAAAAAAAAAAAAAGAATGAATAATACGCTAATCCTTGATGAATCTAATGAACTCTTGAGTTTAAAATTATAGATAACTTATTTATTTAATTAAATAGATAATGAAAGCGACTGTTGTTTTCAGGAAGGCCAAGGAGTGCCAAATCCCGTGTGAACATTAGGAAAAGTTATACAATGGTGAGAAAATTCAAAATTTACCCATTTAATAAATATTAACTTCTCATTTTCTTGGATCTTCCGTTAGGCTTCCTAATTCTTTTTTTGATTTTCTTAGCCCATTAAAAAATTATTGTTGGCTAATTATAATTTGAAAACATAATTCTAGACTTGTTAACCTTACTTTGAGCTTTGGTTGGAATCCAAAAATTATCTTTTTAAGGATCTTTAAGATATAACTTAAGGAAAAACAACAATTATCTTCTACTTTAAAGAGGATGAGTTTTATAATAGCCAGTGTAAGATAAAAGCTTTTCACATCAATTTTATTAGGATGAGGACAAAAAAGATGATGGAAGCAGCTCTAAGCACAGTGATGTTGACAGTGAAGATGACATGAGAAGTGATGACCCACAGTTACCGTCTGTCAACCATAGCTCCATTCTGTCAGAGTCGTTTCCTAACAGTCCTGCCTCTCTCTCTATTTGGTATGTTTTATGCTTCTTTTGTGTAAGCCAGTGTAATCTATTTTTTTGTTATCAGGTACTAGAGGCCGACCGAATTTCGGTTTCGGCGCCGAAAGTGGCCATTTTATCACTTTCGGCCAAGTTTCGGTTTCGGCCGAAACTGAAAAGTTAACTTTCGGCTTAATTTCGGTTTCGGCCGAAAGAGAAAAGTTAACTTTCGGTTTTTCTTCGGTTTCGGCCGAAATTGACTTAGACTTTCGGCCATCCGGCCGAAAGTGACTCAGGTTTTTGGTCATTTAATACTCAGCGAAAGCGATATTTAACAACAAAATAAGCGACATTTAAGAATAAATTAAGTGATCTTTGAGAACAAACTCAATGATATTTAACAACAAACTAAACGACATTTATGAACAAACTAAACGATATTTAAAACAAACTAAGCGATCTTTAAGAACTATCTTAGCGATCTTTAATAACAAACTAAACGATCTTAAAGAACAAACTAAACGATTTTTAAGACCGAACTAAATGATCTTTAAGATCAAAACAAATGATCTGTAATAGGAAACTAAATGATTTATAAGAATAAACTAAGCGATCTTTAACAGAAAACTAAATGTTCTTTAGGAACAAACTAAAAGATCTTTAAGAACAAACTAATCGATCTTAAGGAACAAAATCAATTATCTTTAAGAACAAACTAAGCGATCTTTGTGAAAATCTAAGCGATCTTTAACAACAAACTGAGTGATCTTTAACAACAAACCAGGCGATCTTTATGAACAAACTAACCGATCTTTAAGAAAAAATAAAGCGATCATTAACAAAAACTGGACGATCTTAAACAACAAATTAAGCGATCAATAACAACCAACTAAATTTTAGTTCAACCATTAAAAAAAGATGCATTCAATAGCTAGGTCCTTAAAGAAATAAGTTTGGCCGTTAAAATTTTGAAATGTTTGTTTGAGTCAGTTGGCAACCCTGGAAAGGGGGGGGGGGGTTCAGTCGACGCCATCATTTACGTCTTTCTGAAACGGTGCGCCATTGATAGAAACCGCTGGAACAAAAAAAACACAAAAGCACAAAGATAGACTGATGAGAAGCGAGACTACGAGCCATAGAAATAAGCCGCCTCCCCCCCCCCTTTTTTTTTGTGTGCCTCCCCACCTTTTCTTTACACAAGTTTCCGAATTTGTCCGGAGCAATCCTCGCATGTACAATAACTAAAAGAGGCAAGCTATGAATGGACTATAATGTAGGTGATTAGTTATCAGTGACGAGTTGTTGTTGTTTTTTTTTTTAAAATACTATTCATTGCCATTGAATCGTATCGTCATAAAATGCTTGTTTACCATACTATTACATAAAGATAAACCCAGCCCCGGAGAAAGTTTGCATTGTGTAAGTCCTACACGTTACTGCTAGGCAATATGGTATCACGACTCAAAGATCATACTTTGATCAGACCCAGAATAAGAATGGAACAACGTCCAACTCGGTCGTTGTAATTGTGTTGTTTATGTCAACTTTCTGTCTCATTTTCACCCTCACAACCACCCCAACGCCCACCCCCACGCCCACCCCACGCCAACCCCACGCCCACCCCAACCTCAACTAGAGGCCGACCGAATTTCGGCTTCGGTTTCGGCGCTGAAAGTGGCCATTTTATCACTTTCGGCCAAGTTTCGGTTTCGGCCGAAACTGAAAAGTTAACTTTCGGCTTAATTTCGGTTTCGGCCGAAAGAGAAAAGTTAACTTTCGGTTTTTCTTCAGTTTCGGCCGAAATTGACTTAGATGGCCGAAAGTGACTCAGGTTTTCTGTCATTTAATACTCAGCGAAAGCGATATTTAACAACAAAATAAGCGACATTTAAGAACAAATTAAGCGATCTTTGAGAACAAACTAAATGATATTTAACAACAAACTAAACGACATTTATAAACAAACTAAACGATATTTAAAACAAACTAAGCGATCTTTAAGAACTATCTTAGCGATCTTTAATAACAAACTAAACGATCTTAAAGAACAAACTAAACGATTTTTAAGACTGAACTAAATGATCTTTAAGATCAAAACAAATGATCTTTAATAGGAAACTAAATGATTTATAAGAATAAACTAAGCGATCTTTAACAGAAAACTAAATGTTCTTTAGTAACAAACTAAAAGATCTTTAAGAACAAACTAATCGATCTTAAGGAACAAAATCAATTATCTTTAAGAACAAACTAAGCGATCTTTGTGAAAAACTAAGCGATCTTTAACAACAAACTGAGTGATCTTTAACAACAAACCAGGCGATCTTTATGAACAAACTAACCGATCTTTAAGAAAAAATAAAGCGATCATTAACAAAAACTGGACGATCTTAAACAACAAATTAAGCGATCAATAACAACCAACTAAACGATCTTTAAAAACAAATTAAGCGATATTTTAGAACCACAATTTTTACAGACCCGGTTTAAAAAATAATACTTTGCATTAACTTCCCCCCCCCCTTCCCTATCTCAATTTTTGCCAAATTTTCTCATAACATACTAATTAAAAAAAATTGTAACGCAATTTAAATTACTCTTATATTAAAATGGTAAAATCCAAAGTATTCATTAAATCAAGGGTCTCAAACTCAAATTACCAGGGGGGAGGGGTGGGCGCAGGAGGTAGTATCTGAATGAGAGTGGGCCTCATCAAGTAATCCACAAAAAAGCGACTACAACTGTTACAATATGCTCAACCTTTATAAATAACGATAAAATCATTAAGGGTTCTCAAGAACTAGGATTCACTTTCATCCACCTACTCACTGCTGCATTAAAAAAATTATAGAAACATTACAAAAAAAAAAAAACAACAGAATTAGACTAGTCGGTGGGATTCGACTGACACCGTCGCGGAGAGTCACGCTATAGCTATGAGGTTGGGGGAAACGGGCCGGCGCATTTACACTAAACTTCTCTGTCATGTAGCGGGCCGCAAAATATCGTTTTGCGGGTCACAAATGGCTCGAGGGCCGCGAGTTTGAGACCCCTATATTAGATGTTTATTTATTAACATTCACAATTATCTCATTTTTATAAAAAGAATGTAAATATTTATACTTTCCCACATCATTTTGGATGTATGCAAAATGTATGCGGGAACGAATTTCAAAATATCTATTTATTTCATTTTCGGCTTCGGTTTCGGCTTCGGTTTTGGCTTCGGCTTCGGTTTCGGCCAAAATTCATTTTTAACTTTCGGCCTTTTTTCGGTTTCGGCCGAAAGTCATTTTTAAACTTTCTGCCTTTTTTCGGTTTCGGCCGAAAGTCATTTTAAACTTTCGGCCTATTTTCGGCTTCGGCCGAAATCAGAAAATCACTTTCGGTCGGTCTCTATCAGGTACCACATAACTTGATGATAATAATATTGATCAAATTTATTTAATATTGTCACACTTTTATATAAAATCAAGCCTATGTCTGAAAGGGTGATGGCGGGGGAGACTTGGGTAGGGAATGATTTTAAAAAATAGCATTTTGAGTTTACAAAATATTGTTTTTTCGTTTGGATTTTCTAGTCATAAGCATTTCTGGCGCAAGTAATGATGTGCCACATCTGTAAAACAATGTCTGTTCTAATAAGTTTGTGATAGAACGTTCGAGTTGGGTCTTAGAAGTTCAGGTTTGGTCGTTTGCGGGGTTCCACTTGTGTTCCGTCATCAGCAGGGTTCGGCTTGTGTTCAGTCGTCAGAAGGATTTGGCTCAGTTGTCACCAGGGTTCGGTTTCGTCGTCAGCTGGATTTGAGTTCGGTGTGTTAGGTTCGATAGAATTGAAAAATATTGTCTGGGTGCATTCTCATACTCTGTAAAAAAATCTTTTTGATTAGCCAAACTTTTCTATTTAACAACTTATTGAAGGATTAAAAATGTATATTATAAAAATTGTTTTATGTTTTAATGCCTCTGACGCCTTGTTGTACTTTACAGTAGTGACACAGAAGAGGAGAAATCACTCAAGCAGTGGAAGAAGTCTATAATGCTTGTCTGGCGAGCAGCTGCCACTCACAAGTAGGTTATCATATATATATATATATATATATGTATGAAGTAGTGTACTGGTAATTTTAATTTAATTTTCATTTCTCAGGTATTATAAACTTAGACATTTCTTTATTATGTCCGCCATTGTTATTATTTCCTAATTAAAAAGTATGATGGGGTTTTTAAGACATGGACTTTTTATTCTCACTGTCAAGCAGATTGTATGTCACATTCAGTGCAAAAGGCACTGAGCAAAGAATTTGTATTGATGCGTACATTTTAAATCAAGTCTAAAATTGTAAATTGTGTCTTTCAGATATGCTAACGTTTTCTTACATCCAGTGACAGATGATATTGCTCCAGGATACCGCAGTGTAGTTCACAGGTTTGAATGAATTATTTCTGGGCTTCAGTTATTACTAACACAATCAACCATTCCATGATTAACAAATCCTGAATTGTCTTCTTTTAATCATTTCTCTGTTGTTTGATGACTTTGAATTAGCTTTCTTGTAAAAGTGAAAAATAGTGAATGATTTGTAGGAAAATAATTATTTTTAATGATGTTCTTTGAATGAGTTCCCTATCAAAATAAAGGGCCCTCTGTTTTGTTACAGGCCCATGGATCTCAGCACAATAAAGAAAAATGTTGAGAATGGAGCAATCCGTACAACCGTTGAGTTCCAGCGAGACATGATGCTGATGTTCACCAATGCTATTATGTACAATTCCTCCAACCACAATGTGTTTAAAATGGCAAAGGAGATGTATGATGATGTGATGCAACACATTGAGGTAGGAAAATCTCAACTTCTACTTTAAACTTTTTCATTTCAACTGTTATTGAAAATGCAATCTCAAATAATATCTCTTAAAAACCAGTTAAAGACATAAAAGAGTTTGAGTGAGCAGGGAAGGTTGGGGGTATGAAATAATAAAGTTATGTGAATCATGTCACACTGTTCATTTTAAATAGAGATGATTTACAAATATTTATTCTAACAAAAAGTTTATGATTGTCTCAACTGCCTTTTCTCCCAGCCATTTATCCCTATGCATTTATTTACATTATCATCATTTCTTTCATGTCTCATTCAATTCTTTATTCAATGCTGATGAATTTTTATTTTTTAAAATTTGGATAGATTTTCCAGAAAGAGTGTAACTGTATTTAAAATGAGAATTTCCTTTAATAGAATTTTAGTGAAATTCAAAATCTCATAGCAAGTTCTTGCTGTATTCCAGTGTAATTGCCTTGTCATTCATTAGTAAAGCAAAATTCAAATTGGCATCATATCATCTCATCACAAACTCCTTCATCCCTACACTTTGCTATTAAATTTTTAGCAATATGTCAACACACAGATGATGATACAAACCACAGATGCAAAGAACCTTCGCCAGTCTCGAAGACCAGACACATCGGACAAGGTAAACAAGCTAACTTATCAAACTACAAGAACTTGTGATAAATTTATCTCCCCTCTCCATCATGTTTCAAATTCCTCAGATTTGATTGGCTCCTGCTTTACACAATTATACTGAATAGTTATTCTGACAATCCCTGTTTTATTAATGAGTGCTGATTTTAAGTTCCTTGAAAAGATTTTTGGAATCCAGCTCAAATTAGAAATGAGCTGGAACGATCAAGCACAGATTTGCTAACATCAGGTAACAAGACGTTTAAGGTGATTATATTCTAAAGATAATTTTGCCGAAACTTAAGACTACCAGCGTATTCAATTTAGTTTAGTTAAACCTTTAACATAGTAGGCTTCACCCAACCGATATTTCCAGAGTATGGTCCATAGTTTGCAAATATATTTTATTTGGAATCAAATTTTTTATATTTTTTTTTTTTATTAAAGGGCTTTATAGTTTTATGAATATGTTTCATTATCATGATTAGATATTTTAAATAACTTAACAGGAAGATGATGTCAAAAAAAGGAGACTATCGGTTGACCAGTTTGAAGCAGGAGGCAAAACAAAGAAAAGGAAAACAAGACTTGATGAAACATTGTCTTAAATTTTTTATATTTTTTTTCAAAATGCATATTTCATGTTTGTCAAAGATTTGCAACCTGAATAAAAGGATTTCAAACTGCGCTGATTTTTTTCTTCTGCTCTCTGTTTGCAACAGTAGTTTGATATATTAACACATTTTTATCCTCGTGGGTTACACATCTGGAAAAACCTGTCCAACCCAATTCTTTTATGATCATGCAGTTATGCCCTCAACTGCCCAACCCAATTCTTTTATGATCATGCAGTTATGCCCTCAACTGTCCAACCCATTTCTTTTATGATCATGCGGTTATTCCCTCAACTGTCAAACCCAATTCTTTTATGATCATGCCGTTATGCCCTCAAACTAGTTCTGAATTTTTAAACAGAAGTTTTTAGCATGTAAACCAAAAAATATATATTTTTATTCATAATTTACATTTAGCCGTTTTATGGGTGTTAATATATTATCTAAATGTATAAAGCTATTCACAGTGAGATTTTCAATGAACTCGACATTTTTCCTTCCCTTTTGGTCTTCATTGCTCAAATTTTTGTTTATTTCTGTGTTATTTTTCTAGCCTTCTGTACCATGCAATTATCTTGATAACTGCTGCCTTTTTTTAGAATTAAATAGAAATCAATACTAAATGTAGCCTCTAAAATGGTAGAAAACTGACAGAGAAGACTTACAAAACACATCTAAAGACATTTCCCCTAAATAACATTTATAAACTGCTTATATCAAGACATCGAGTACCCAGAAAGATCATATAATGATACCTGTCTACAATCTTCAAGTTTACCAGAGCAAACAAAGAAATGTCATCATCTCCGATTGTAAATCAATACTTCAAGCAGCTGAACATCAATATCTCCCAACAATAAAAGAAAAAAAACAGCCATTCAGTGAATTCTCTTAGTCATAACAAGGACTTAATCAGTTCTCATTCAGATTTGTGACTTCAGGGGGAGCACGCTGGTAAATTTGTATAGATTTGGGAACAAAAGAATTTTTTATATCTTTCAGTCCTCGCCCTGACGGAAACAATTCGTCCCGAACGGGCTGATCCTAAGTAGCTGTGATGAAGAGGGTGGGATGTATCATCCAAAATGTGTTTAGTTTTACAATAACATCTTTCTTCAAATAGTTCTTCAAGTGAAGGATGTTTAGTTTGTGTTATGTTCCTAGTCCTAGCTTTCTTGATTGGTTGGTTTATGCGTGTTTAATATCAGACTAAGAATTCACACACCAGCATGTAATATTGAAATTAAGTAGGCTTCCAATTGTTTTACTGTAGAATAAGTTAATGACTTGTTTGTTTATGCCGAAATTGTATAGTTTTTTGAGTTAGAACAGTCTTTTGTTGAATTTCTTATTATACAGCATTTGGCCGTGCTCATGCCATGTTAGCTTATTATCAATGGTGACACCTAAGTACTTGTATGCCTCTACTTTCTCTACACTTTGATTTTTTCTGTTGAGATCTGTATTCTGGTGTTTCCCCTTCCTGAAATCAACAACCATTTCCTTTGTTTTTGAGGCAAAGATGAATTTTGTGTAACAAAGATCAAATAAATAGTTGAACAAAATATGCTTAAGAATTAAAAAAAGACAGAACATTTAAATCAGCGGTTCTCAACCTGTGGTGGGTCAAACAACCCTTTCCCAGGGGTCGCCTAAGACCAGCGGAAAACACATGTACTCTACAGTTATGAAGTAGCAACGAAAATTACTTTGTGGTTGAGGGTCACCACAACTTGAGGAACTGTATTAAAGGGTCACGGCATTAGGAAGGTTGAGAAACACTGATTTAAATGTACATTTTGGCAAGAAGCCTTCTTCAGCAGGCAATACAATAATAAAAAAGAGATACATTTAAATCAAAACTAAAACTTTTGTTTAAAAGACCTCAATAATGTCAATGTAGCTCAAAATGGGAAGCACTCTATAATTTTTAAGAACTGAAGTTGACAACTAAAGGTGCATTATAAAAACAGAAGTTTAAGAGCAAAACATGCCTTTTACACAATTAAGTGGTGCATACTTAAGGCATTTAAGCGTTATTACGGTAAAGTTAAACATCTTCCTGGAAACCTATGCAGTCAAGCTAACCTTACAATGGACACCACAATATAAGGGGGAAATTGAGAGGGCAAACTAGCAAAACAGAGAGCATCAAATGACAGCCCAACATACCTACTTCATTCAACACTGTGAGGCAGATAATCAGAAATAACAAAAAAGATGAGTGGTTAAAAGGATGGACTAAACAGAGAGATGCATGTTTACAGGCAAGCCCAAATCCAGTAAATTGTCTCCAAAGGCAAAAACGAGTAATGATCTTTTGCCTGTGCACAGGACACATATAACTTAATTATTACCTTAACCATATAAAACACCAATGTGCCCCTTCTGCAGACATCCTAATGATACATTAACACACCACCTCTTTCACTGCTCAGTTCTTTAAGACTTATGCCTTAACTACCTGCCAAAAATACCAGAATACGCCAACACCCTATATACAAATTAAAAAAAAACAGCTACAAAGAGTGTGACATATCTTCACAGTGGTCTTGGACTGAAGGACAGCTGAACAAATGGCTACTGGATCTGGATGATGATGTTTCCCCCATTTTTTTTACCACAAGCATTGAAGGAAATAAATTTGGCCATGATTCATCCCTGTTTACAAGTCAACACATCCAGTCAACACATTTATTTATTTATTTAGGCATTTTTATATAGCGCTTACCATAAAGCTCTAAGCGCTTTACAATTATTAAAAACATGTAAACTAAGTAAAATAAAAAATGAGACACTAGGATAGTAACTACTATACTATAGAAACAAAATGGCTATAAAACGTTTGACACGTTTTGGCCTATACTACAGGATAAACCCGAGACAGAAAATGAGGCAGGGCAAGGAGGGTGCATCACAGGTCATAGGCAGACCTAAACAGATGAGTTTTAAGGGACTTTTTGAAAATGGACGAGGTTTCACAATGACGGATATGGATGGGGAGCTGGTTCCAGAACGTGGGCCCATGGAAGTAGAAGGAGCGTTCACCGATGGTCTTAGTTTAGTTTCAGTCAACACATCCAGTGGAAAGAGTTTGAAACACTCCGCTTTGTATTGGTAGGGAGAAAGGGGCACAACTTTTTTCAATCCATATCATATACCATTTTTATCTTATGTTTGTTTTCTGTATGTTATGACACCAAGCATCATAAAATCTACTCAATGTTTTGAAATTAATTATGAATCTGATGATATTTTTTATTCTGATAAAACTATGTTTTTCGTGCCTCATACTATAGGAGCCATATTATAGCACAGATGCTAAAGTGAAGACTGGTAATTTCAATTATGAATAAGCTGTCATAGCAATCAGGTAACAAGAAGAAAAGGAAGCTACATAACACTTCATGTGTGAAAACTGTTATATTATACCCCACTCACCACAGACATATCTTTAATAGCTTATCAACATCGCGAATCCTCTTTACATTAATAGGAGCCAGAATGATCAATACATTGATCGTGAGCCCTTAAGATATAGCAGAAGAAGAGGAAGAAGATTTGATCAAGAAAACAAGTCCCTGAATTGTTTGTACACATGTTGGCTTTACAAATAAAACATTTATTAAATATTTTGTGGTTAATACAGACAAAATATTTTGGCTTATTCCACATGGTTCATTCAACCAGTGACCTTACGATCTTGACCTATATTAACCTTGATAGGCATATTAAAAAATTTAGCTTAAGTTTATAAGTAATATTTTTCAGAATGAACCAGGATATCTTTAAAAATGATGTTTGCAATCTTACTACTACTACTTAGTACTAAATGACCAAACAAAAACACAGTCAGTTCACAAGACTCCTAATTCTAAAGTCACACTAGTCACACACAAAATCCAAAAACTTAAGAAAACCAGTTGTAATGAAATTAAAAAGAATTAATTTATATTTTTGATTTCAAAACGAAAAACATCATGTGCTGAATTAACTCCCTGTATCAAATAATGATCATAAACCAGTATTGACAAAAAATCTGAAATTATCAAATTATTTACAAAATTAATTAAAAGAAACATAGTTTTTAACCATTGGACTTTATGATGATAATAAGCTTGCATGTTTTCATTACAATATACTTCAAAAAGGCATTTGTTTATAATCAAATAGGATGAGAACATGGATTCAATATGATAAGAGCATTGTTCATTTTGTAGAACTGAAAACTATAGCTAATAAAAATAGTTAGGTCAGTTCAGTCACACATTTTGAAAATAACACCAACATGCCTACGTTGTGACTAAGTTTATTTTCTAGAAAGGAAAAATAGATGAAGTAGAAGTTATGATACAATGTCAAGTATGATGCTTGAAATTCAACAAATGTAAAGAAAACCCAGATATTTAAAATTAATAATAAATTCAGATAAGAAGAATTTATCTTTTTAAATATAACTCACTATTTTGTGAGGGGCAATGTATTTTTGTAATAAGGGGGAGAGACTGCAATCAGGTTAGAAAAAAGGAAATGAGCAAAACAATGTTAGTTTGTTGAATCCTTTTTATTCAGGTTTTCCCATACTTTATTTCGCTCTTTCCTTATTTATATTTTGTAGCCAAGTTTTATAAAAATTAAATGTCATTTTTGAGTAATTATATTTTTGTAATCCATTAATATTCAATACTGATGACATAATGTAGTTATTCACTTTGATAATCATCATGGCATAGATAAAGCTTTACTTTTGGTGTTTATCATGAGCTCTACTCACTCATGGTCAGGAACAGTTACATTTACTTAAACAAGATTTATAGCTGGACAAGACCCTCTGAGGCTGCTAAGCTGAACAGGAAATTCTCAGTAGCCGGGGGCAACTTTCTTTCTTTCAGCGTTTCCAAGGTGAAGGAAAGTTTACCATCAGCACCTTTTGTGGCCAGTGACTTCAGGTTGTTCAATAAATCTTTGGTCTTAGTTTCTATTGCCTGAAAAAAATAAAAGCCAATGGTAAAAAAAATATGATCTCCTCTTAAGCAGTTTATGTAACAATTTCTTTTCGATCTGCTACTAAGTAAAAATAAATGGGGTGTGTATGGACTTCTGCTTACGTCTGCTTCACCCAGGTAAATGGGGCAGGGATTTTTCTTTAAAATTGCAATGTATTTGAATAAAAAGAATGTTAGTTCAATTATTTTAAGTACATAAACAAAGTGAATTCAATTTAATTGTAAACAGGACAAGACATTTTTGTTCCAAATAATTTGCTGCTCCAATGATTTAAATGTGCTTTTAAGAAGTGAATATACAGCTTAGATACAATATTTTCAGTTTTTAAGTCTTGTTCTGTCACAATCCAACATTTCAGTTTAAGTCTCGTTCTGTCACAATCCAACATTTCAGATTAAGTCTTGTTCTGTCACAATCAAACAAAGTCTTTTCTGCTCATTTCATTTATAATAATTTTTTTTTACCTGGTGTATATAAACCTCTGCCCTGTATAAGTTGTGGCCTATTTAAACAGAATAAACTGGATATATTTTTGTATCACTCTATATATAAATCATGTGTTTGTGTATAACTTATCAACCTTACCTTGATAATGTCAAGGTCTGATGTTTCTGATTCAGCTTTTTCTACCATCAATAATGCTATTTCTTTGTGCAATTTACCCATTGCAAGGGACTCTGATGAAAAATATCATGGATTCCATTGATTAAAAATAAATGGATTCATTTACTGACTCTTCTATCAATTAATATGGAACAATCTTTTCTGTACAAATAATTGAATGGTAGTTTTTTTAATGTCAATTTTTTTTAAACTCAGACCATCAAATATTGAGTTTTATGTATAGGGTTTACATTTTGCAATTTTTTATATGTGAACTGTTTTATTCAATGGAAAAGCTATTCAAATCTTATCTCTTAAAATTTATTTAAATGGAAATGTGACCTCTTAGGCAAAAAGCTTTTACTTTGGCATAAACTTACCTTTGGCATGTGCAGCTATAAAAATTTGACTATTAGGAGCATTGACAAAGATATCATAGAGGTCTGTCCTGAAAAGTTTTGAGTAAAAAAAAACAGAATAGATTGCTTATGCTTAGAGAAATATTCACTAAATAATGTTAGCTTTGGAAATAACAATATAGTGTTTAAAAAGAGGGTTTTTGGGTGTGTGTTTTTTTCCAAAATCTTAAAGCCCACAGTACTAGATCTCAAATTTGTGAAGAACATTTAAAAATAAATAAATGTGTATTTAGAATGTGTACAGTATAAAGTTTCAAAATTTCAAAAGTTTCTTAAAAGACTTTTCTATTCTTAACTATTTTATAACTATTTTATATGTTTAATGTTACATATAACATGAGAAATAAATGAAAAATAAAATGGAAAATTCTATTTATTTCTCTTTACTGGTGTCACATTTAGATTTGCTGATCCATAGAACTAACTGCTTTATTTTAAAACATCTATATTACATAAGATGTTCAACATACCTGCCTTCCACAGCAGCTTCAGTAAAACCTGCTACATAATGTGAATTGGACTTGAGGTGTTCTGTTTCTCCTTCTGTAAGCTGTACATTTGGATGAACAATATTCCAGTTCTGCCTGTGCCAGGCAAATGCTGGAATGGCTCTGTGTTTAACACAAATAGTAATTTTAAGGCCCTGGCTAATGTGAATCATAAATATAAAACTGAGTAGTCACAACTTAGCCACGAGGAATCATTTGTCAATTGATTTTAAAGACACCCCAATTGAAAGTATTTTATTATCATTGGCTTCATAAAATTCATTAACTAACTGCTTTAAATTGAACATTTTATGTGTAGCATAAAATTTTTTTAAACTTGACTTCTCAACACACACGCAAAGGGTTGCCAGGTCAGACATTTTATATCCATAAGCTTTACGCTTCTGTGCATGTTTTATAGCTTTAAAAGTCAGTTGTTTTGATTTAGTGCTGATGGTATAAATTAATTAACATACAGATGTCATGGGAATCTTAAAGTTTTACCTCTGAAAATAAGCAAACAACCCTCCACCTGTTATTTTAAGACAAAATCAAGTAAATAGTGTAGCTAATTACCTTGTATATTCAAGTAGATTCCCTAGTGAGTGTGGTGGGAAATACACAGCAATCCTTTTCTTAAGCAGCACTGCTGTGTAGATTAGGATGGTTTCTAGCCCAAATGTTTGAATTAAATCTAGAAAAATAAAGAATGGGAAAAAACATATTCCTTGAACAATTTAATTTACACAAAAAATGTTTTAGTGAAATAGACCAAGTTGACTATAGTTAATATAAAAAGAAAGGAACTTGGGAAAAACAGCTCGTCACATCTCATATATTATCTTGGACATAACCTCATAAAATAACATTTCTATACATTAGAGCCAGATAGGTTTTTTGGACATTTTTTTTTTCATTAATAAAAACTATCTATATCTATCAACCAATCTATATATCTGTTATGTTTTCTATGTTTTTATTTCCAACGATAAACATTATCATAAATATACATAAATACAAGTTCTCAATAATGTTGACTTTCTGATTGCTTCCGGAACACACTGTTCATTCACACAAACTCCGACTACAGTCTCTCTGCCCATGCGCGCTCTTTAACTAGTTGGCTATCAGGACTGTCTAGTCCACTATAACAATATCAATCAATCTATCTATTAATCAATCAATATCTATCTTGTCTGCCCGCTTTCATTGAGCACAATGATGAGATCTCATTAGCTTCTTCCCCGTGCGTATGCACTAAATGCACACAAAAGAAAAAATATAAATTAAAATTGGTGGATATAAGGAGCGCCACCTGGAATTATTATTATAGATTGTGCACCTCTTCTCACATGTTTCTTGTGTGATGCTACAGACATATTTCCTTCTGGGCGTAGATAGTCAGAATATCTTAAAAAACAGGCAACTTTATTTGCAGCAAAAAAGTATGTATAATGAGGCAATCAGAGGACCCTATGATGTACATACCTTTAATACAACACTTTCCATAAGCCTGTTGCTTGCTGAAATCATTGACTGAGAATTTTCCATTTTCATCACTGTTGCATGTGCCTTTAGTAATTACTGATAAATAGCCCTCTAGCATAGTTGCTGCACTTCCCGTCTTTTTATATTGCCGCCCAAATATTTGACATAGTGCTGAGTATTTCTCAGGGTTAAAATCTCTACATAGAAGCACTACAGTAAACTGAACAACCTGCAATATACATAATCAGAAGCAAAATATATAAGAGATGGGTAAAATCCAGGTATACAAAATTTTTAAGCAGAGTTGCACCAAAATGCAAGAAAACTTTTTGCGATGTTGATTACTAGTTCTAGCAAATCTAAATTTGTAACTTTCATTTTAATTTTTAAAAATTATAAATTCATAAATAATAATCAGAATGAGCTACCTGTGGCAATGATGTATCATCTGTGGTTACATCCATGAGTTGAATGTAATACCATTTCTGCTTCCATTGTCCATATACAAAATTGACGGGCAAAGAACTGTCACTACCAAGATTGGATTTTGAAACAAGAAACTCTCTTTGCTCTGGTGATATTGATGGATATGACCAGGTCCACAGCACATCATTATTCCTATCCTTCTCTAATAATGATGTCAAAGAGAAACATTTTTCATGATTTAAATCTTCAGAATCAGGTAATATTTTGAAGAAGTGATATAATTTTAAGAACAAAATTCAACTTGTCTGTTCAACTATATTTATTACTCAATGTAGCCAAAATGTGATTTAAATTTTAAAATGAATTCAACTGCTGCGACACACCTAATCTGTAGCAGAAGGTTCATGTGTCGCATGATTTTGACATAATTTATAAATGTAATAGTAATATAAGTTTTGGGGATATACTAATTACAAAATTAAAAAGAAACTCAAAATAAGATAAAATGTTAAAATATTATAATACATCTAATGTAATTTAATTATAAGAATTAGCTTGAATGCTCCCTTCATACACAAAGCCAATATAAATTTTAATGGTTGAATGATGCTGTATCAAAGAAATACCGTAATTAATAGTTTAAGCTCAGTTTAAGTTTGTTGAAAGTTTAACAACTAAGCAATAGAGTAAAAATAGGTTTTTAATAAAAGATAGAAAAACTTTATTATTCAAAATATGAAAATATGTGTTACCAAACCCACCAAGGGGTCATCCATAAAAGACGTCCACACAAAAGGGGGGAGGGGGGGTTCAGCAAAAAGTGGACTAAAGTGGACGGGGGGGGGGGGGGGGGTTTAGGACAAAGTGGATGTCCACATTGTAGTGGTTTTTTTTTGAGTGCAGTAGTTTTGCATAAATTTACTGCAAAAAATTCTAGTTTAATGACAAAAGAGTTGGGATGCAAACCCAAACAATCTTTCACAAACTTAGTGGTTAAATTTAGAAACGATTTTTTCAATATTAATAATTAATATGCTTGAATATTATTTTAAAAATATGTTGTTAAAGTTTGATTTGTCAAATACAATAAAATCTCAAATAACAGTTTTGTTTTTCCAGAAAATCTTTAATGATTTTTATTTTGTTTTGGGGTTAAAAATGACTGAAATATTTGAAATTGACTATATTTTTTATTAAAAATTAGATATAGGACAAAAAATTATTTTCCGAAAAATGTAAAAATATATTTAAATTTAAAAATGCAATCTTAATCTAAAAAAAAACAAATTTTTTTTATGAAACAAATGCGGCAAAATTTAGACACGATTTATTCAAAAAGATTATAAAAGCAGGCCTAAAATAAACATCCAGGGTTTAAAATATGTAAATTTTATTAAAATATGCGTCGCTAATACCTTTGGCCTTGACCTATTCACAATCAACCAATAAAAAATAACAAAAAACATGTGGTAGTAAGCCACTTTAAGTCTTACATTATGTTCAAGCATTGTAGTTGCAGGACCATTGGATTATTAATAGCAAGCAAAAGCAAATGTATTTCTGTATTGAAATTTTATCTCGTTAAATGTTTTTATATGTAAAATCAGTAAGAAATTTGAACAAAACTTAATTTGCTCATTAAATGATAGATAGTGTTGATGTACCGGCAAATAACAGTCAGTTTAAAACGCATACAAATTTTTTATTTTGTATTATGTTTTAGTGTGTTGAGATATTTCAATCATATATGTAGTTGTAGTTTTATATTGCGTAATATTATGTATATCAATTGATTTTTATATTAATTTCTTATTTTTATCATTATCGAAAATACCTTGTTTCCTGTTCAGAGCCGAAAATGGGACGACAGACAATCAAGACAACTTAGATGAGTCATTCAGCAAGAATAACGAGCATGAAACAGATCAATGCAATATCCTTAAAGTTGACAAAAATAGATCAGCCGAGCGGATAGCTCAAGAGGAGTTAAATTTGACAAATTCAAAACTATCCGGTTTGCTAGCAATTCGTTAAACTGGTTTGTGGACAGATGAAATGAAAAAGAACGCAAATGAACTTGAAGAAAAAAAGAAAAAACTGAAACAGAAGTTGCATCGCCTTTCATTTGACCGAAAACGAAAACGTTCAGCCCGAGCAGACATGAAAGAAGCTTTGCAAATACTTGTTACAGAAAATCCCACCGCTGCAAAAAGGCTCAAAAATTTCACTAGGAAAAAGCTTGCTGAAGTCAATTGTCGACATTGTGTCTGCAAGTGGAGCTGCTGATGACCGCCAACGCACCGAATTGATCCGTTCATGTAAAACACTTGATGATCTACATTCAGAGCTGTTAAGTCTTGGGTTCAACCTAAGCCGATCTGCAACTTATCTTCGTCTTCTACCACGCAACTACATGACTGCTGAAGGTAAGCGGCACATAACTACCGTTCCGGTGAAACTTATAAAAGCTGCCAACAATTTGCGCAAAGAGCACATAGATGCCCATTTTGCAGCATCAGCAATAGCTTATTTGAAAGATTTGGCAGTATTGATGGGCAGTCAGTGCACATTCTTTCTTAGCCAAGACGACAAGGCTAGAGTTCCTTTGGGTCTTCCAGCTGCATCAAAGCAGGCACCACTTCTAATGCATCTGGAATATCGTATACAATTGCCTGACCATGATTGGGTTATGGCAGATAAGCATAAATTAATACCTTCAGTTTATGCCGCATGTATTATCAAGGAAGGTCGTGTGACCTATTCCGGACCAACATCCATATCAATAAGGAGTGGTAAACATGATTCCAGTTCTGCTGCATCACATGTTGCAGATTTTGATGTACTTGTCTCTCTTGATATTTTCAAGAATGTGGCATGTACAAATGGTGGACTAGTAAAGCCTATAGTAATTATTACCGTTGACGGAGGCCCAGACGAGAACCCACGTTATCCAAAAACATTGAATGCTGCGTATAAATTGTTTACCAAGCACAATCTTGATGCTTTCTTTATAGCGTGTCATGCTCCGGGTCACAGTGCCTACAATGCGGTAGAACGACGAATGGCCCCTTTGTCTCATGACCTGTCAGGCCTCATTCTTCCCCATGATCATTTTGGATCCCACTTGGACGCAAATGGTAAAACTATAGACCAAAACTTGGAAAAAGCAAACTTTAAAAAGGCAGGGGAAATACTCGCTGAAGTTTGGGGTCAGGCTGTCATTGATGGCTATAATGTGCATGCACAGTATGTTGAACCAAGCAGCACAAGCACAAATCTTCC